TCGGGTTTACAAACAAGGGACATTTCTAAGGCCATTGAAACGAAATTGTCGATGCAAAAGAGACATTCAATGTACACATTATTTACACATCCCAACTTCATTCCATTTGTTTCTCAATTGCAAACCTTCCCAACTTTATTTCACAACTTATTCTTTCACTATTTTTTTCTTTTCCAAGCAAACATTATTTTTCTCTTTTTTTTATATTCATATTTACACAAATTTTTCCAATGCTTGCTTGAATTTTTCAAAAGTTGTAGCAACCCACCATACTTATTTTGCATTCTCCCCAACTTAACTTTTACTCAACCCTCAAGTGAATGCTCTTGGCTTTTTATGGAAAAGAGGACAATTAACACAAAATTCAAGGGTTCAAGAAAAATGTTTAGAATCTCACAAAATTCAGACTGAGATTCACACTGACTAGGCTCAAAGGGGGTTAACGAATTCTTTCTACTCACGGGTAAGTTGCATTTGGACATGGTTGTGCTCAATATAAACAAGTGTCTTGATCATTTCTAATGCTTTGGCAAATACAAAATAATCACAAGATAAAGCATGAATCAAACGAATCAACAAAGTTTATTAGTAATCCAACATTTAGTGAACAATGGAAGCTTTCTCACAAATTGTGGTTTTGGTCCTAAGTGAAACAATCATTCAAACAAGTTGCTAAAAGAACAAATTTCATTTGCACAAAGACTTAAGTTCTTAAGCATTCTAAAATTCTAAACAAAGGTAACTTTGTACCTTGACAACATTCACTTGTTTCATACTATCATCGCCATCCAAACTCGATCGAATCCTCGTTCAGTGCTTTTATACAGATAGCAACCACTCTAGAAGGAGTTCTCATCATTCCTAATAACACTAGAGAAACATAAAAGGAGACAAATATATACAATATAAAAAAATATACAAAGCTTTAAAATATAGAAATAGTTGCAATGCACTTCAATATCTCAACACCAATCTCCGACAACGGCGCCATTTTGTTGAAGCGGTAAAGCAGCAAGTAAAAATATTAAATACTCAGTTTTGTCGTCTCCACAAGGATAAGTGCGATGAAAGAACACCGTTCATTGGTATCCACATTTCTAAGTTTTTTGTTCAAAAGGTTTTGTTTAAAAGGTTCAAGGAACCATGAATAAAAGGTAGAAAATATAAAGACGAAAAATATAAAGTAAAGACTGAAATATAAATGGAGCCTTGTTGGGATTGGATCTAATTAATTGATAACACATGCATTCTTCTGATCATTTTAAACACAACTCAATCATTCGTCTAATATTCTCACGTATCACCCACGACAGAGGCCATCTCTAACGCATCGTCGAGAGAACAACCATGTTGTCTCATTGGTGATGTCTCACGCAACAAAAACACAACACAGAGCATGAAGAACAGATACTCACGCAAATGCTAAGCCTAAATCTATGTCTAGAGTTTAGGATCTAACAGGTAATCATCCTAGATCTAGATCTGAAGAGTACATGTCTATAGCAGTTCAAATCAAAGATAAAAGGTAAATAAAGACAACACCCATATCGGATAAACGATTGTTTTAAATAAAACACAATGATCAGAATACATACATACGCTTAACCCTTTTTACATGTATTCACAAGTTTGAAATTGTTGCACAATTCTATCAAAAAAACAATGATGAAGTTAGAAAAATTGGTTAGAAATGATGATATTTGAAAATGAATTAAAAAAATTGAAAAACAAGTTTGAATATTGAAATTTTATCTTGAACAAATGATGGAATTAGAATATTGTGATAAAAAATGATATATTGTGCTTGAATGTTTGAAATTAAGAGAAATAGAATATTGAAGGTAATGATGATTAAAGAAAATTGTGTGGAGTTAATGATGAAATTGGATAGAATTTTGAGAGAAAATTCCAAAAATGATATAAGATGATAATATGAGATAAGATGAAAATGGACTAGTTGTGACCAAGTAGATAAAGAGAAAGAATTATGCAGGAAAATGAAAGTGCGGGGCGTGGGTTTTGTGTGAGTGAAGAAAAACTAGTGTGTGAAAGAGAGATTAGTAGTGTAAAGAATAAAACAAGTTTATAATTATATACATTAAATAATGCTTAAATAATATAATAAATAAATCAATAATTAAAAAAACTAATAAAAATTAAGTTTATTATAACCCTAATTAATAAAAAATAAAATTAATTAATATTTGAACTGAAACTAGTAAAAAAATGATAAAAACTATCAGTATCAAGGTGTTTGGAAAAATAAAATGAACACATCAAAACGATCAGCAAAAAATATACGTATTGAAAAAATACAGCGTTTTCTCAAATTTTGAAATTGATTTTACCTGGTAAAAAGGCTCAGACGGGTCAGAAAAGCGACCGAAAAATAGCTGAAAAATAAAATAAGCACAGTAGGTTAAAATACGGGAAAAATAGATTAAGAATTGACATCTGCAAATTCAATTTAAAAAACTGTTCGTACACCAGATTTTTGCACAATTGACTTTTAGTTTGACCAAAACGCCTGAAAATTTAACACGTTCATTCTGACTGATAATTCAAACAATATTCATGATAAAACATATGATATGATATGCAGATGATGCAAAGCGAAAATGCAGTCAGATGACCGAAAATAATTAAAATGAGGTGGTCAAAATTTAGGGGTATGACACATCGCTGATTTGAACTTGTGTAATCCTTTGAATCAAAACTTCCAGAACTCTTCGTTTTCCCTAAGGATGAACAATGCACATAACACATAGTTATAAAACTCACAATTTCAATTAACAATGGTGATGGCAATCAACAAAATTTATGCTCTAATTCGATTTATGGTTCGTTTATGAGTAAACACGCAGTGAAGCCGAAGATGTTGATGAAGAAATGACACCTCAGATGCCACGCGTGCAATATTAGACGAAGTATTTTTAGAACTAGATTGAAAAGACTGATATGACGATGTTTGAATAGATAAAAGATCACATTGATCTTTTTAAAATATAAGAGACCAAAATAGACCCCAAGATAAAGATAAGGGAACAAAAAGGATATTTAGCCGTAATTTTTCTTACACAACCTAATGTACCTATTCTATAATGCACGAAGAGAAAATAAAAAGGCACTTGGATTGAAGAACTTACCAAAGGTATAGTTGAAGTTGAAGCACTTAAATTGAATGGATGTTGAAAAATAAGTGATAAATCACTTGGATTGAAAGGAATAAAAAAGCACTTGAGATATTAGAGAAACTAAAAGTGATTGAGAAGTGATTTTGTTGGAAATAAAGAAGGATGAAGATGTGACACGTATTTAACTCAAAACTTGTCCGAATGTATATTTCTGTAAGTTATATAGAAATGTATTTTCGTACTATTTTTTGTCAAAATGAGAATATAACTCTCTTACAAATGAATGAGGTGTGGAATGAAATGTATTAAATAATACATCTTCAAATTCTAAAAACATTTTTATTTTCTCACAAGGCTGCTCAAGTTTCACTAAGAATACCAAAAAAATAATGCCCCAAGTAAAACTCACACCTTTCAAATCTATTTACTCACAGGTAAATAGGTTTGGAATTTTTTTAGTATTAGAATAAACTTATTCTTAATTTTGAAAGTGATTATTAAAAATTAAAAAAAATAAAAACTCTTTTATTCTCATAGTAAATTATCTATTTTATCCTACATACACAATTTACTATTTAATGTATATAATATCTCTGTTATTTATATATTTTTCTTAAGTTATACGAAATATTGATTTGTGTCCTTATGACACATATTAAAGAATCAAATGAATATATAAATAATATAATCTTAAAAATTATGCATTCAATTCATAAAAAAGAAATTTATTGTTTCAAAAACAATTCTTTTAGTTTCAAAGTTTTTAATATATTATTAAGATTGATTGCAATGAAGACTTTGGCAAAATTGACAATGGGAAAATAAAGAACAAATTTTCGTATTTTTTAAAAAATTTAATTGATATACATTGAGTATAAAGATTTTTTATACTGCCAATTAATTACAACTGTTAATTTGTTTTAAAAGTTTGATTTTTATTTTAATTAGTTGAAAAGTAATACAAACGGATGATTATGATGTTTTGACAGTGTAAAATTTTTTATACTGACAATGCATAACAATTAATCTCTTTTTAAAAATAATATTTTTATGTATTATAATAAATGAATGTTTATATCTTAATAATATTTTTAAAACATTAAAATAACTTAAATTATATTTAAATAATTTATCTAAACCATCTAAAATCATCATTATATACCTTTTTTATTCAATTCTCCAAAATTCAGGTAAAATGAAAACTCAAATTATTAAAGAATTTTAAAAGGTTTAGATAAATACTTTATAATTCAATAATATACTGATATAATATTTTAAAAATTAAAATTATATCAATAATAAATATTCTTTTATCATTCTTTATTAAAATGCTATTTTAAAAATGTAAAAGATTTTATTAACTATAGTAATAATAAATAAAAACTATGAGTCCTATTCTTATGCTTTAGAGTCCTACTATGTTAATAATGACAAAAAGAAACAGAAAATCTCATAAATATCAACACCATATTGAAATAAAAACCAAAATAAACTAAGTTTGTTCAGCAAACTCCCCAAAATGGAATTTCATTGAAATTCTAACTCTATCAAAAATCTATCACTTATGTTCATAATGCCAAATTGCCAATGCATCATAATAGTAGTAATTCACTAGCTGTCACCAGTAGTAGAGTTGTTCAGATATTTAACAATACAAACATTAATAAAACTAGATCAGACACAGTAACATAGTGAGCTTCACATGAACTTGTTTTACATAGTGAGCAATGTTGAAGAATCTACAAAACCAAAGTTACATTAGAAACATGAACTGAATTTAAACAAACAGTGGCTAATAAATCTAATCAAAATGGTAGAAACAAGATCAACCACCGGATATTATTTTACCTTGGACATTCATCATAATCAATAATAATAACTTTCCACCAAATCTCTTTCCTTAGGCTGTACCACACAATCAACAAACATGTCTTTAAGTTTTTCATGCTGAAGCATTAGATCAAGAATACCATCCTCAAAGGTCACCGCACGGTTTTTGCCCCCGTCTTTATCCGAAAATACTAGTTCCGACAACCTGTCCTTTTCGGCCTGTTTGAAATACTTGATGCACTCGGTAGTCTCGTGCGTGAGCAGATGGTACGTGTACACAATTCTCTTTTGTCCAATCCTATATGCTCTACTGATAGCCTGACGCTCGACAGAAGGATTCCATAGAACATCAAGTAGCACAACTCTTGACGCTCCGACTAAGCTAATTCCCTCAGAACAAGCTTTCGTACATGCAAGTACAATCTTAGCTTTGCTGTTTGCATCATTGAAGTTGTGGATTAAAGACTGTTTTTCCTTCAGATCAATCGTGCCATCTATGTAGAGTATTTCCTTCCCCTCGGCCCAATTAAAGGATGAGCTTAATTGCTCTACAATTAAGTGTAAAGGGGCGGTGAATTGGCTGAACACAAGAACTTTTTCATTAACAGCAACACAGAGATTAACAAACTCCACCAAAAATTTTGTTTTGACGCCAACATGTGGATTCAATCTAAGTTTTTCTAGCCGTTCCTTGTCAACAACAGATTCTTCTTCTTCCAAAAGTTTGCATTCGAGGAATAGAGACGGATGGACCGATGACAGTATCAGCTTACGCTCAAAGTTCAATATGTTCTGAGAACTTTTAATGCTCTCAAGAATTTGCTTCTGAAAACTGTCAGGCTTCAAACGAAGCACGCACTCTCTTAACCCGAAAAGCTTCTTTTGAAGAATCGCGCCTTTGTAAACATGAACAAAAGGATCCATTAGCAACTTCAAATGCTTGATCTTATCATCAGAAGGATTTCCTGTTGTGCTGTTTCCAGTTACCGGTTCCCAACTCCATTCTTTTGCTGCTTCCTTATGTTTCTTGCAAAACTTTTTCAGCTTGGGTGGTATTGTGTTAGGAAAAGAAGGCTTCACTATGCTGAAAGTGTTGTACAGTTCCAAGAAATTATTCTGGAAAGGAGTTCCAGAAAGCAGAATTCGCTTCTTTGTTTGAGCTTTTGATAACACCTTCCAAACATTACTTCTTGCATTTCTTGGCGTATGTCCTTCATCTAGAACCAACAAACCAGGAGCTTCAAGCAAAGCCTTCCTCATATAACTGTTTTCTTTTCTCTTCTGTTTATTCTTTTTCTTATCTTCGGATTCCCATTCCCATCCTCTCGCATGTTCATTCTTTTTCTTATCTTTGCATTCCCCTTCTCCGTCGGCTAGCACCTTGAACAAACTGTAACTGATTCCCAGAATGCTTGTTTCTTTGAACCACGAAATCAGTTTTGCCATTCGTGTCTCGTCCAAACTATGCCGCCGTGAATTAGACCAATTAGTTGCATTAGCAACATCATCATGCTCTTTAACAGATAACTCAGGATTGTTCAAATTGTGAAATGGAACACCAATGTCCCATTTTCTGAATTCGTCTTCCCAAGTAAGTAACAAACCCGCAGGAGCAACAATGACCGGCAAGCATTTCGGAAAAACTTTTAAATAAGCCTTGAGAAACATTATTGTCAACTTTGTCTTTCCAGTTCCAGGAGCATGTGAAATAATGCAACCACCCTCCCTTTGAAGATTGGCGTTCTTTAACCCTTGAAGCTCAATGTTTCCTACTAACTTATTCCAAATGAACTCAAAACCTTCTTGTTGGTGAGAATATAAGGTCGGTTTTACATCAGGAATTAGGTCCCAAACTGTTCTTTCATCGTAAGATAAATTAGTCCCTGAGTCATGATCAGAAACATTGAAGTGGGAGTCATGAAAATGTGAGACATTTGCATCACCAAACGAAGCCCTTTGTCCCGATCCTTCATAGGGATATTTATCAATCTGTGTCACATAGAAAACAAGTATGCAAAAACTCAGGGCCTCTTCTCAAAGTCAAATCAGAGCAATTATGTACAACACAGTTCAAATCCAAAAATTAAGCTACTTTTTACATTGATCAACATCAACCCAATGATGCAAACATCAGTGACTCCCACCAACGAATCCCATTATCAAATCAGAACAAACATACATGGATATCACAGTTATTAATCCCTATTTCACTCTTCAATTTTTAAGTATATTGAGTAATGCAAAATAATGCAAATCAGTTTGTCAGTCACTAATAGCAAAAAGTTCTGCCATAGCTGCAACTAAATTGCGAGTTACATAACAATGGTTTGTCCAAATTTTGCTAACCAAGAGCCAAATTTAAGCAAGATAGTATTTATATAAATCAACATCAGAGACCATGCTTACCACTTGTGGTGAGACATCTTTAATATCAGTGACAACCCAACCACACCGCCTGCAATATACACCAATCTCTTCGTCGAGACGAATGTCATGTTCACAGTCAGAGAACGGACTTCCAGTTTTTACCTGAGTAGCTTCATTGCTCCCCAAATTTCCGATCTGCAGATAGTAACACATAAAGGTAGTCACTTCTACTGATTTCTCCTTACAAATCTCATTGAGTAAGCATGTAAACAATTTATATTAAAAATCAAAATCAAATAATCAGCTTTAGTTCAAAATTTAAATATTGTTAAAGAAAGGATTACCATGGATTCAGCTTCAAGTTCTCTAAGGGTTGTATTCATTTTATCCCATAGTGCTTCCTCCTCTTCCTCACTCTTGGTCTTTTGCACTTTCTCCACCTTTTTAAGACTCCATATCAATGGAGCTGTCTCGTTACAAACAGGTGGTGGGCGTGTATCATGTCGAATAACATCTTTCAATTCCAACACAGGTGAATCATTCTGAGTTTTATTTTTCTTGTTTCCCCAATAGTATTCAGCAAGGAGTTCAACTAATCGCAACTCCTTCGGCTTAAAAACTGTGCTTTTTCCCCTTTGATTCAAGTCATTTTTATCCATGGATTCCTTCTTCTCGCCACTATGGGTGTAAGCTCTACCTTTATAATCCCTTCCCTTCATCTCCATCATTTTCTGTTTATCTGAATCCTTCATCTTCTTCTGTTTTGCGTGAATAGAAGAATCCCTTTCATCCTCAATAATCACACTTTCTTTAGGTTTAACAGTGTCTTTGGATTTGGATTTGCCAACATTAAGATTATCAGAGACATTTTTCACTTTCATTTGTACAACTTTTGATGTCAAAGTCTCTGATGTTTCATGCAGTTTGGAAGAAGAGGAAGGAGCCTCCATTGGAGCAAAAGAACCCTTTTTCTTGGAGGCATTAGAGGTTCTTACACCACCATCATCTGCATGCCGCAATTCAGAAGATGAACTATAATGATTCTTTACCTCCTCATTATTACTATTTTGACCCTTGGCTTCTCTCACCATCTCTGCCAGCACATTGTCATATTCTTGCCAATCCATTTCCAAATCCACCTCCTCCCAACCCATTTTCTTCTTTTCCACCCCTTCCTCCTCCTCCACCTTCTCCTCCTCTTCCTCAACCTCCTCCGTCTTCTCCTCCTCCTCCTCCCACCCCATTTTCTGCTCCTCCACATCCTCTTCTTCCTCCTCCTCCAAACCCTTTTTCTTCTCCTCCACCTCCTCTTCCTCTTCTTCCTCCCAACCCTTTTTCTTCTCCTCCTCATTCTTCTTCCAAATCCAAACCTTTTTCTTCTCTTCTTTCTTGTCACCAGTATCATCATCATCAACATAAGAAGAAGTACTATTATCACTGTCAGAAACTTCATTCACCTCATCAACTAGAAATTCCTCGTCACTAGTCTCAATTTCCTTACTTTCTTCACTTTCATCATCACCATCATCAGATTCATTATCATCTTCATCATCATCATCATCATCAGATTCATTATCATCATCTAAATCTAAATCTATAATCGGATTTTCAGATGTCAAACCACACTTTTCATCATCAAAGCTTTCATCTTTTTCACCTAACTCACCAATTCCTCCATTTTTCTCACTCTCTACTTCATTTTCAACACCCACACAACCCTCTGAACTGTTCTTTTCACAATCTTCCAACCCTCCTTTGTCTTCACCATCTGAATCTATAATCAGGTTTTCAGATATCGAACCACACTTTTCATCATCAAAGCTTTCATCTTTTTCAACCAACACACCAATTCCCCCATTTTTCTCACTCTCTACTTCATTTTCAACAGCCACACAATCTTCCAAGCCTCCCTTATCTTCGCCATCTGAATCTATAATCAGGTTTCCAGATATCAAACCACACTTTTCATCATCAAAGCTTTCATCTTTCTCAACTAACACACCAATTCCCCCATTTTTCTGACTCTCTACTTCATTTTCAACAGCCACACAATCATCCAAGCCTCCCTTATCTTCACCATCTGAATCTATAATCAGGTTTCCAGATATCAAACCACACTTTTCATCATCAAAGCTTTCATCTTTCTCAACTAACACACCAATTCCCCCATTTTTCTCACTCTCTACTTCATTATTAACAACACCCACACAATCTTCCAACCCTCCTTCACCACCATTTTCAACAATATCTCCACTCAATTCCTCATCTTTAACATCAATATCATCAACCTCAAATTTTTTCTTCCTACGATATTCTAACCAATCCTCATCAGAATCACCATCAACACAATCCTCAAAATATTGTAACAAATCTTGATCTCCTTCCTCGTCGTCACTGTCAATGCAAACAACATCAACATCTTCATGCAACCCAAAAGACTCTTCATTTGGCTTCCTTTTTTTAGAGCTCGAACCCTTATCCTTTTCATTACTTTTTCTACGCTTGGATTTCAAAGAACACGAACACGAACCATGAAATGAAATACTACCGAACAGCGGAACATTCTTGCTCCGAGTACGAGTCGAAACACCATTAATTGTGACATTCTTGCTTCGAGTTCGACTCGAAACACCAGCCATTGTGACAAACACGAGAACAATAGCAAAAGAGAAGAAAAAACTTTGCTGTATTGTTTGTTTTGCTTGCAAAAGTGGAGAGAGCGGATGTGATGTGATGGGATACTTTAAGAATGGAAGAAAAGAAAAGCGTGGGTAAGAGTACTAAAAACAATGAGAGAGGGGAATGAAGAAAGTATGGCGCCAAAGCAGAAGAAGTGGAATCAATCAATCACTAACACCAAACTAAATACAGTAATCTTTTCGTAGGTTAGAATTTATAATTAATAAATAAATTGATTTTTATATTCTTCTTTTTTTCAATGTATATTTAATGAGAGATTTTCAGTTCAATCTTTGATTTTGATTAAATTAATATAATAGTAGTAATTTATTGTGAACGTACAATTTTTTTATGTCCTAGGTAAATGGTTGATGTATCTGAATTTTAACGGTATATATGTACTTAGGGTGGGTGTTTATAAAATATAAATACATTTCAGTTGATTGAGATTAAACTAACTTTGGTTTGATTATCAAATTTAAATTTTTTGAACAGTTGATTTGCTGACTCAATTTGATAACGTGACTATAATGATTTTTTACTATTATTTTAAATAAAAATAAAAATAAAAAATTAATATGTTACTATTATACTTATATTAATAATTTTATGTAATTTTAAAACTAAGTGTTGTATTTTATTTTATTTTGTTATTATTCCTAAAATTACGTATTTTATATATTTTATAAAATAATGTGATTTATGGATTTTTCTACTATTAATATGTGTTATGGAAAAAACTCGTTCGCACTCAGCAATGTTTTTTTTTCAACAATATATCTTTTTATCATATTTTCATTATTAAATTACATTCATTTTTTTTTGTTTTTTTTTTCTTTATGCATAAGAAATAGTTCTTTTAAAAAATTATCGGTTATCCTCTTGACAAAAGTATAGAGTTTTTGGTTATCATTTCTTGAATTTGGATAATTTTTAGTATGGAATTGCTTGATACCTATAATCAAAAGTGTTTTTTTTTAAGAATATTTATGATGTGCTTTTTTGTAAAATAATAAATATTTGTGTTTAATTTTTAAAAAATAATTTTTTATTAATGTCTTGGTTCTAAAAACGAATTATACTATTACAAAATCATAAAGATATTTTACCGATATTTTTCATATTTAAAATAATAGTATCAAAAAACTTATCTTTTTTATAATTTTTAAACAAAAAAAATATATCTCCAAAGAAGAAAAATATTAAATTTTCTAATAATCTATAGTTTTTTTTCAAAAGTTATTACTGTTTAAAAATCATTATTATATGTTGTTTCTTATAAAGCAAGAAATATTTTTGCTTTATTTTTAAAAATAATTATTTATCAACATTTTAGATTTAAAAACATATTTTCTTAACAATTCTTAGACAAAACACAAAATGACGTAAAAAAAAAAACAATTAATAATCTTTATTATATTTTTTGGTATTTGAAGTATTAGTTGTAAGAAATTTTTTATTTTTTTTTGTCAGTAAAAAATTACAGATCTGTAAAGAAAAAAATATTAAATTTTTTTGTAATTTATTTTTTTGAAAAATTATTTTTGTTTAAAAACTCTTATTATATGTCTTTTTTTATAAAGTAAGAAATATTTTTTAAATAAAAAATATTTTTATCAATATTTTGAATCTCATAAATAAATATATCAGATTTTAATTATATTTATCATATGTGAAAAAATTTATAAACATAATTTAATAATTTATAGACAAAATAAACTTTAGTTTGATTGGTTGCATGAAAATTGATACCGAAATAAGATTTAATGTTGATACTAGAAAGAAAAAAAAGAAAAAAAGACTTAATCACTGGGAAGAAACTTGATCATTGAAAGTGAAAAAACTTTAGTTTGATTGGTTGCATGAAAATTGATGAAAGGTATGAGTGGATGGGGGTGTATGATATACAATAAGTTTTTTGACAAAGAAAAAAAAAATAAAGATGATCTCTTTAACTTGTCATGTTCAACATTAAATTATCAATAAATACAAAATTGATAATTTATTATATTGTTTTAGAATAGTAAAAATTTTGGAAAATGAAAAGTTAGGGGATAAAATTGTTTGTTAAGAAGAAAAAATTGAGATAAGAAGACACCTAACGTGACCAATGGAACAATGTTACACAAAGGGTAGAATGAGTAGTCATAATTACCTATATTTTGATTTTATCATATTTTCATTTTTAAATTACATTCATTTTTTTTAATTTCTTTTTTTCTTTATGCATGAAAAAGAAAAATTATCGGTTATCCTCTTGACAAAAGTATAAAGTTTTGGTTATCATTTCTTAAAATTGGATAATAATTTTTGGTATGGAATTGCTTGATACCTATCATGAAAAGTGCTTTTGTTTAAAAATATTCATGCTGTGTTTTTTTTTCATAAAATAATAAATATTTGTGTTTAATTTTTAAAAATAATTTTTATTAATGTCTTGTTTTAAAAACTAATTATGCTTTTGCAAAATCATAAAGATATTTTAACAATATTTTTCATATTAGTATTAAAAAAATTGTTTTTTTATAATTTTTAAACAAAAAATATATCTGCAAAGAAGAAAAATATTAAATTTGCTTATAATCTATAGGTTTTTTTTTTCAAAAGTTATTATTTTTTAAAAATTATTATATATTCTTTTTTATAAAGTAAAAAATATTTTTGCTTTATTTTTAAAAATAACAATTTACCAATATTTTAGATCTAAAAACATATTTTCTTAGTAATTTTTAGACAAAACACAAATTGACGTAAAAAAAAAAAAAGAACGGTTAATAATCTTTATTATATTTTTTTGGTATTTGAAGTATTAGTTATAAAAAATTATTTTTTTACCATTAAAAAATAACAGATCTGTATAGAAAAAATATTAAATATTTTTGTAATTTACTTTTTTGAAAAATTATTTTTGTTTAAAAACTCTTATTACATGTCTTTTTTATAAAGTAAGAAATATTTTTTAAACAAAAAATATTTTTTTATCAATATTTTGAATCTCATAAATAAATATATCAAATTTTAATTATATTTATCTTATGTGAAAAAATTTATAAGCACAATTTAATAATATTTAGACAAAACAAATTCATCTGAAAAAGAATAGACTTAAAAGAAATTTTTTAGACAAAATTAAATCAATAATGACTGAAATAAGACTTAATGCTCATATTTGAGGGGAAAAAAGGGCTTGATCACTGAGAAGAGGCTTGAAAACTTTAGTTTAATTGGTTGCATGAAAACTGATGAAAGGTAAGATGAAAGTGTAATTATGAGATTTTTGGAAGTGTATGTAATAAGTTTTTTTGACAGAGAAAAAAAGAAGACAAAGATGATCTCTTTAACGTACCATGTTCAACATTAAATCATCAATAAATACAAAATTGATAATTTATTTATTATATTATTTTGGAATAGTAAAAATTTTGGAAAATAAAAAGAAAGTTAGAGGAGAAAATTGTTTGTTACGAGAAAAAGTTTATGAGATAAGCAGACACCTAGATTGATCAATGGAACAATGTCACACAAAGGGCAGATCAATGAAAATAAGATAATGGGGTAATTGATGCAGGTGCTGTAGAATGAGTAGTCATACTTACCTATATTTTAATGGATCAAAATCATGTCCGTGGATGGAGGTCTTTATAGGAGATTAAAATTCATATATGCATCTAAAATTTGGTATCTTTATAATAAAACTAAAAACAATTGAATAATGTAAAGGAAAAAATATTATGATTCAAATTTTCTAAATACTTCATAATAATAATAATAATAATAATAATAATAATAATAATAATAATAATAATAATAATAATAATAATAATAATAATAATAATAATAATAATAATAATAATAATAATAATAATATTATTATTATTATTATTATTATTATTATTATTATGGATGGTAAAGAGAGAAATTTTGATTTCATCTTTTTTAAATACTTTATACTACCATTCATTTATATCATTTCATAATTTTTAAATATTCATGGAGTTTTTAAAATATTGTTTAAATTATTATTAATAGAATTTTCATGTGTATTTAAAATATTCATGGAATTATTATGTATATTAGTGATTAAAATCTATCAAATAATGTTTTTCATAATAAACTAAAATATAACTTTTCTAGCTAAATAATGTAAAGACATACATAAGAAAAATATTTATTTTAATTTTATTTATCAACAAAATAAATTTTTTAATAATTATCTACATAGGAAAATAAATATTTTCTTATAATTCATTAAAAAAAATTTATCTTAATATTTATCATAATTTTGTTAAACTAGTCTAATAGAATTAAATACACCAATAATATAATAGAAATTTCCAAATTTTACTTATATAATAATATTATCCTTCCATTAATTATATCAAAATTAAATTTAATAAAATCTTATTCAAAATCAATGTCTCTAATAAAAATATATTGTCTTTATCAGCAATTATGATAATTTAATACATAATTTTATATCTTAATAAGATTGATTTTTTTAATATAAAAATTTAATACATAAATAATAGAAATGTTCCCGGTTTGGTTTGGATTAGTTTTGAGATAAAATTTTATTTGTGGTTCAGTTCGGTTTTGAATAATTGATTAGAAAAAGTCAATCTGATCCGATTTAATTTTACGCGATTTAATTTGAATCGATTTTTGAATATTCAAAATATAAATTATATTTTTTAAGATTCTAAAAATGATAATAAATAATAGAGTTGATATAATATTTAACATATAATATATTAAAAATTAATATTATAAAATGAGAATGATAGATTATAGTTGAAACAAATTAAATAATAAAAATAAATAGATTAAATTAAATTAATAACTAGTATTAAAAGAATAAGTATCACCAAATAATAAATTATAACACCATATCATATTAAAAATAAAAATAAAAATATATACAGGTAGTCTGGTTCGATTTGAATCGGTTTTGAAAAGTCAA